CCAACCTCGTTTTTGCTTCTCAGAAGTATTTTGCTTATTCAGGGTCTCTTGTTTCTCCAAATAAATTTGATAATTTCCCTTTTAATCTCTTTGAAAAAGTAATTTGGTATCTGGATTGGGATTGCATTGAACATGTAGATTGCTTTGGTAGGATTGTCATTTTCGCCATCCTAAGTCTTCCTATCCATAAACATGGCACATTTTTCCATTTCTTTAGGTCTTTTATTGTATCTTTCAGAAATACTCTATAGTTTTCTTTGTATAAATCTTTTGTATCTCTAGTTACATTCACTCCCAAGTATCTCAATTTGTGGTTCGCTATTGTAAATGGTTTTGGTTTCTTTATTTCCATCTCTGAGTTCTCTTTGATGTTGTAGAGGAATCCTGTTGACTTATGGATATTGGTCTTATATCCTGCCACACTACTACATTGGCCTATTAACTCTAACAGGGCTTTTTTGTTGTTGTTGTTTTTGAGTTCTTGGGGTTTTCTGTGTGCATTATCATGTTATCTGCATATAGTGACAGTTTAACCATTTCTTTGCTTAGATGCCTTTTATTTTTCCCCTTGTCGTGTTGTCTTAGCAAGCACTTCCAAAACAATGTTGAAAAGAAGTGGTGACAGTGGGCATTATACAGCAATTCTTAAACTGTGTCAACCAACATAACTTTCACTTCTTGTGCTTAGCTTCCTTGGCAATACTCATATACATATTTTATTCTTATGGTTATATCCTCCCTTAGTTTGAGATAGATATAGTTCATTATTCCAAGGAATTACCTTCTATGAGTAGTTATCATGAAAATTTCATCTTAGTAACCATAACAAACTGTGGCTGATTCTGAGAAGAAATGGAAATCCCAGAATGCTTGATAGTGCTAATGCGAAATGTATACTTGGACCAGAAGGCAGTTTTCAGAAGAGAGCAAGGAAACACTGTATGGTTCAAAATTGGGAAAGGTGTACACCAGGGATGTATCCTATCTCCATATCTGTTCAACCTATACGCAGAACAGATTATTCTGGAGGTTGTGCTGTATGATGAGAAGTGCGGCAACAGGATTGGAGGAAGATTCATCAACAATCTGAGTTATGCAGATGATACAACCCTGCTTACTGAAACTGAGGAAGACCTGAAATGCTTGCTGCAGAAGATCAAGGACTGCAACCTTCAATATGGAATTGCAAAAACCCGTGCATTTTATAACATCAAAGGAAAATTTTTTAAGAACAGCTACAAACAGTCAGAGAGGCAAAGAAATGATTAATATATTGTTATTTTAAATATTCAAAGTTTAAGGGGAAAAGTAATTAAAATTTTACAAACTAAAATATTTCAGAAGCATTACAAAATTAACAGATATTTAGGTGGTGTTTAAATGTAAAGCTAACCTTTTTGGCCTCTTCTCATGGTTCAATTCCTCCCGGTTTATGTGTTATTTGGATTTTATCCACATCACCGTTTTTTTTTTTTTGCATTGGAAAGGTTTCCTCCTGACACATAATGCTATCGATCTAGCCAGTCTGTTGAGGTTGAAAAAAGGGAAGGTTCCTAAAGATTGTCCTTGAGTATCGAGAAGCCAAAACTAAAGAAAACATGTTGAAGTGAAAGAGCTGAACAGATGATTTCAAATGGCAGCTCGGGAGGACAAAGAAAATCTTATAATGAAATGTGCAGAGTGCTGGAATTGGAGAATAAGAAGGGAAGAACTCACTCTGCACTTCTTAAGCTGAAAGAACTGAAAAACAAATTTAAGCCTGTGTCACAATGTTGAAAGAGACTTTAGGTAATATATTGAATGGCTTAGAAAGCCTCAAAAGAAAATGGAGGAAATACACAGAGTCACTGTTGCAAAAAAAAAAATTGGTTGACATTGAAAAATTTCAGGAAGTACCTTATGAACCAATATGAACCATATGAGCCAATAGTAATAAAAGAGGAAGTGGAAGTTGCATTGACAACATAGGCAAAAACTAAGATCTGTGAATCTATGAGATAACAATTGTCTTGTTTCAATTAACCCATGCAAACTTGGGTACACTCACTAGTCTATGCCAAAAAATTTGACGGATGGCTGTCTGGCCAACATATTGAAAGAGCTCCATATTTGTTCCCATTCCCAAGAAGGATGATCCAACTGAATGTGGAAATTATTGAACAATATCATTGGTATCACATGCAAGTAAAATACTGCTGAAGTTAATTTAAAAAATGCTATAACAGTACATAAATAGAGAATGGCCAGAATTTTAAGAGGGATTTAGAAGTAACCATGGCACCAGTGATATCATTGCTGATACCAGATGGATCCTAGCTAAAAGTAAGGAATGCCAGAAGAATGCCTATTATTTGTGCTTTATTGACTATGCATAGACATTTGACTGTGTGGTTCTGAAAAGTTGTGGCTGACATTCAAAAGAATGGGAATCCCATTGTGTTCATGAGGAACCTATATTTGGATCAGGAGGCTGTTGTGTGAACGGAGCAGGGAAGTACAGCATGGTATGGAATTAGGAAGAGAATGTGTCAGGGATATATTCTATCTCCATACCAGTTAAATCTATATGCTAAGCAAATTATCCAAGAATCTGGATATGAAGAGGAATGTAGTATCAAAATTGGAGGGAGATTCATCATCAACAACCAGCATTACTTGCCTTACTCAACATTATTACTGTGTAGTGAATAGTAAAGCATCAATGAATCCACACTGAATTAGATCAAAATAGTAAGAGCACATACTCTACTGAAACGTAATTAAGAATCCTCAAGGAATCTAGGATACTGTGCTGGATTTTAACAACTGAGTATATATTTTGAATACTGTAGAGAAGAAACCCAATACATGTTTATCTGTCTGTCATAGAGTAATGGGTTTGATACAGGTTGCTGTGATCCTAGAGTTACGCCTCTAGTACTACATTTAACAGCATGATTATCTGAAATGGACAGGTTTAAGCACATTTTCAAGACTGAGGCAAAGTAGTGAAAAAGATCTTGAAATCTATTTCCAAAATCAGTAAATGAAACTTAATGGATCACAGCAGAAAATTGTCCAGCTTGTTTGCTTCAGAGATATTTTAAGACTAAATCAATTACTAGAGGAGAACAAAGCGTTTGGTAAAGTAGACAGACTCTAAGTAAGGTGTATTGGTTGCAATATTCTAAGTATCACATGGATGATGGAGGATAGGCCAACACTTTAATTTATTCTACAGAGGTCATTTTAACTAGAAGTCAACTTGACAGCATGTAGCTGTCTGTGTAGCTATCGACTTGACTATATATCTGTTTACCAAAGGAAAAACAAAGTCATCTGAGTCCATAGAAATCTGTGCTGCTACCTGAAAGACCACATTTTTCTGGCTATTTTAATCCACCAGCAGATCTGTGAGATGAAGATGGATAATCTCCTACCAGAGGAATACCACCTCTGAAAAGTGTCATCTATGAGTGGGATACAGCTTGACAGAAGTAATTTAAGTATACCGTTTGAAAGGAAAAATTGATGTGAAGATTATCAGTACTACTACTAATTCTAGTAGTCTTATTCACAATGCTAAGAATTAAAGAGAGAGCTTCAAAATGATTAGTGATGAGAAAGATCAATAGCTGCACCTTAAATTACCACTCACAAAGCTTGTGAGACCCTAACTAAAGACACTTTAAAAGAGCCCCTCAAAACTTAGCTAACATAATCCTGCAAAAAGAAGAATAAATGATGCTCAACTATGATTGCTGACAGTTCTAGAAAAGATCATAGTAAAAAGTCCTGGATAGAGTGGGAGAAAAATGAATTAAAACCAAAAGTATAATGAACACTTGACATTTTCTAGTGTTAAATCATAAGAAGCACGTATTACTATTTAGATAGTATGATTATTAGACACTCTTCGAGTCTAGAACTAAATCGGCTCTTGTAACTAAATGTTTCATTCAAAATATATACTGACTTATAAGATAAGCCAGAACAATAGGAGATGGACACTTCATAGAACAATCAATCATTCTAGATCAAAGAAGCAATATTTGCTTGAGAAAAATGTTTAGATGGCAGAAAAGGATAGAAGGGAAGGAAGAAAGAGAAAGAGTAGACACGCTTGGGAGATGGGATGAGCAATAATCATCTCATGGTGGAGGTTGCAAATGATGACACAAAATGGTTACAATTTGTTAATTGGAAAACTTATTTGTTCTGTATACTTTTTACTGAAATAACAGTTAAAACTAGGTTGAGAAAGAAATGATTAATGAATTTTCTATTTAAGAGGACATTTCCCACTTACTCTTTGATGTGTCTTCCAAAGTAATGGTTACTTGCAATATAACAAAATTAACATTGCTTATTAAGGTTAACTCTTGGAATTATTTCAAAATACATGATTCATTTTTTTTCCTATCCCTAAATTTATATAGAGTAAGACTGTTTGAGTGCTACCAAAAAAAAGAGGTCATTAAATATTCTAAATCTTGACATAATTCTATAAAATTCCCTATAAGGTTTACGCCTGTTCGATTTGTATGTACCTCAGATATCTATATATATATCCGTTACCTTTCTATACATTTTATCAGTGGATACTGTTAGCAATGTGATTAGAATCATCTGAACATTTAGTTTCCTGCTGATCTTCTCTGTATCGTTCCAATTTTAGTATATGTGCTGCCGAAGCGAGCACTGAACATTTAGTTTCTATGAGGATAACTTTCCACTAGACTTAGAAAAAGCATGTAATAGTAACAAAGAAATGGCATAAGATAAAAATTAAAAAGGAGAGAAGCAAAGAAAGAATAAGCATCAGTGGTGTTTATGAAACACTGGCATAACTCGTGTGTAAATGTGATGATCTTAATTTTTTGACAGTTTTTGATATGAGTATTACTGATGCAACTCTCAACATAATTGATACTGATAGTTGCTTCCTTCTTTATCCATCATACCCATGACTGTATTGACAAAACTCACATTCCTTTGGCAAAATTAAAGAATCTGGGCAGTCAGAGCTCTGCTCTTGGTTCCCCATAGACTCCACTGCATCTTGTCAAAACTCTCTTCAAGGCCCCAGTCACATCCCTGTTCCTCAGACTATAGATCACAGGATTTAATAAGGGAGTGAGAATGGTGTAAAAAGCAGAGAAGATCTTATCTTTGATTGGGGTGTGATAGGACTGGGGGAGCATGTAAGTGTATAAAGCAGCCCCGTAGAATAGTGTCACCACCATCATATGTGATGAACAGGTGGCAAAAGCCTTTCTTTTCCCTTCTGCTGACTTCATGTGATGCACTGTAATGAGAATCCGGGCGTATGATGAAATCACCACAGAAAAGGGGATTAGCAGCATCATGACACAACAAACATACATCACCATTTCATAAGCTGCTTTGTCACCACAAGCCAATCTCAGCATGGTGGGTGCCTCGCAGAAAAAATGGTTGATTTTGTGTGAGGCACAGAAAGGGAGGCTCATGGTGATGGGAGTGAGGAGGAAACTGTCCAAAGCACCTCCAAACCAAGAGCTGGCCAAGATCATCCAACAGACTCTTCGGCTCATGAGAACAGGGTAGCGGAGGGGGTTGCAGATGGCTACATAGCGATCATAGGCCATGAGTCCTAGCAGGAAGAATTCTGCCCCCACAAAGCCCATATAAAGAAAATACTGAGCTGTGCATGCAATGAAAGAGATTGTACCATTGCCCAAAATAAAATCAACCAGCATCTTAGGCACAATTGTGGAGATATACATCATATCAATGAAGGAGAGGTGACTAAGTAAGAAGTACATGGGAGTATGGAGATGAGGATCTATGTGGATTAGGAAGATCATAATCCCATTAGCTATGATGGCCAGGAAGAAGATGACACAAATAAAGCTAAAAAGGAAGCCTGGGGCTTTACTATGTGTGAAGAGCCCAACGAGGGTAAAGTCATGAGACAAGGTCCTGTTGTCTTCATCCATTGTGATTGACTTTGACCTGGGTATATAAAAAGAGAAGCATAGTGTTAATGGAAATTGCTGTAAAAAAATTTATGAAATATATCATAGTTATTGAATTAAAATTATTTTTGTGACTAGTAGGTTATCTCCAAATGACTCGAGGGTACATAACAACAACAACAGTAGGTTATCTCAAGATAAGGCAAGGTTCAGAACCATTGTTCACAAGGTCACTATGAGTTATTGTCGACTCAGTGCACATAACAACATTCAGAATATTTTCAAGGTTAGGTTCATATGGTGTCTTTTCTAGTTGAAGTCCAATCCAAGGTTAGGTCCTTATGGCACAGATGTAAATGGAAATATAGCAGTTTATGTTTAGTTTATTCTCACTTACCAGTGTTCGCTGAGGTCAGGTTAGAATCTACTCATAGTTCGTTGAGGTCATAGTTAGAATCTACTCATGGTTCTTCAGTGGATTCTCAGAGGCTATCAAGTTACACAGGAAGAGATTGCTAATCTTTCTGTCATGGAGAAACTGGTAGATTTTAACAGCATCCAAATTCTTTACCCACTAGACCACCAAAGTGCAAGTGTACTTTAGGGATTTTAATTATTACTGTTGATATCTAGCCTTAGTAATTATTTTCCAATTGTAGTTTTGTTATTTTCAGTGCACTAAGAACTACAGAACAACTGGTACAATCAATGCAAAGAATCAGAAAACCTTATGTAAGATTTGATTAAATATAATGCAGATTTTGACAGAAAGACATTTTTGAAGGTTGAAGAATAAATGTGATACTTCTAAGCAGGCAGGACTTGTTATTTTCAGGGAACTAATGTCCTTGAAGGTTGAGCACTTTAAATAAGTTGTGCAGTAACCTGATAGTTATTAACTTTGTAAGGTTTGTAGAAAAGCATAAGGAAGTCTCCATTATTTTCATAGTAGATGAAACTGCCTTTGGCAAATTTTAGCTACATTTAAATGTATTTTTTTTAAATTTTTCTCTAGTTTTACTTTTGTTACTCAGAGTCAGTAACTATTGAGGAAGATTTTACTTATTCCCTACCTCCTTTTGGAGTATGTCCAAGAGGTAAAACACACAATCCAGTTAGTCTATGAGTTGTTGTAGTTGTTGTTATGTGCTGGCGAGTTGCTTGCGACTCATAGCAACTCCAAGAACAATAGCTGTAAACTCTGCTCTGTCCTGTGCCAATTGCATTGTCTCCGACACACCCATCCCAATTACCCCAGTCACTCAATCAATCCACCTCATAGAGGGCCTTCCCCTCCTGTGCTGTCCCTAAATTTCAGAACCATCTCAGGAACAGATTTGAGGCCTTGAACACTAATGACCATCTCAGGAACAGGTTTGAGGCCTTGAACACTAATGAGCGAAGACCAGATGAGTTGTGGGAGGATGTCAAATGTATCATCCAGGAAGAGTGCCAACAGTCATTGCAAAGACAGAAGGGGAAGAGAAGACCAAAATGGATGTCAGAAGAGACTCTGAAAATTGCACTGGAGCGTAGAGAAGCCAGAGCAGAAGGAAGAATTCAAGAAGGTAAAGAGCTGAATAGAAGATTTCAAAAGGCAGCACGGGATGACAAAATAAAATATTACAATGAAATGTGCAAAGAGTTGGAGTCAGAAAATCAAAAGGGCTGAAATTGCTCAGCATTTCTTAAGCTCAAGGAACTGAAGACCAAATTCAAACCTCGAGTCTATGAATACTTGAGTAACTACTTGTTTTCCCAGAAATCATTTTGTTTAGCATCTGACCTGCATCATTTCACTTTCAAACATGTTCTGATTTAAGAAAGGTCTCTGGCAATAGAAGGGAATACATTATTTTGGTGAATATAGATGAAGAGGATTTACAATCTAATATGTTGTTGTTGTTAAGTGCTGTGGAGTCACAGGCAACTCATAGAGACCCTATGAAGGAGAGTCCTCAATGCTTGGGTGTCTTTCATCCTCTCTCCAGATGAAGAAATATAGAAGGAAATAAAATCCTTAAGAAACCCCCCAAAACCCAAAACCTCTTTTGTTCCATCATTCTTCAAAGACCAACAAGAGTTTTAATTTGAGAATATAATTTTACCTACTGTATGCTCCATAAAAACACATTATAACAACTAGAAGTGAATATAGTTAGCAGCCAATTTTTTAAATCCAGGAACAACACAGTAAAACCCAATATACTTTAGCTAAGAAATACCTAACTCTAAATAAATATCTAACTCTGGGGGAGTTTTCTAATGGAAATTATTGAAATTATTTACTATCTTAGAAACAGTTCTTAGACTCATAAACTAAGAATTCCAGATACCAAATGGTTATTATGATGATTAAATATCAATCCATGATTGATGGTCAATCAATCCATAGATAGAGATATATACAAATGTCAGATCATATTATATATACAAAAGACCAAATCTGAACATATTTAAGGGACTATCCTGACACAAGTTATCTCAGGATATAAATAAGATGTTGTGGCTGTAAGAGAGTTTAGGTGTTACAAATAAATATACATGGATTGTTGATGTATGTACTGTTTAATTTTTTAGCTAATTGTATTCACCAAGGCAACAGAAGATGGAAAAAGTCTTCCCTGAGCTGGCGAATGTTATATAAATTCTTATCAACAGTAAAATTTTGAGAAATAATAGTTTAGGGGAAATTTTGTTATAGTAAAAAGTTCATTTTTCAATTTTACTCTTAGCATAAACACTAAGAAACAAGAATATAAAACTAGATAATAGAATGCATGACCATCTAGGATCTAAAATTAATTTGAGCACATGATTAAGCACCAAAGGCAATGAAAGAATAATTCTAAGCTGTACTGAATAAATTGGCAAAAAAAGTAAGGCCCTAGGAATCAATGGAATACCATTTGACACGTTTCAACTAACAGATGCAGCCCTGGCAATGTTCACTAGTCTGTGCCAAGAAATTTGAAGATAGCTACCTGGCCAATTGACTGTAAAAGATTCATATCTGTCTCCATTCATATGAAAGGTGGGCATTAACCAGAATGAGGACATTATCAAACAATATCATTAATGTCTCATGCAAGCAAAATATTGTTAAAGATCATAAAAAAATGTCTAGAGCAGTACATTGAGAGTGAACTGATATATTAAGTTGGATTAAGAAGAAGGTATGTTACCAGAGAGATATCATTGTTGATGTCAGATGGATCTTGGCAGAAAACAGAAAATACCAGAAGATTGTGTTTTGTTAAGTAGGGAAAGGCACTGAACTGCATGAATCCTAATGAACTAAAGTTAACATTGAGAAGAATGGGGATCCCAAAACATCTAACTATGCTCATATGAAACCTATCCAGTATACCAAGAATTATTAATGATTTAGTTAACAAGTGTAAACTGGTTGGTCATTTTGATTTTGTTAATAAACCTAAGGTAATCACTAAAAAAAATATAAGAGAACAAAACTTTTGGAAAAAGAAGCAGGAAATTCTACTTTAATAATACATCTATAAATTAATTTTTAGATCCTATTGTTAATGTATTTCAATTATTTAATGTCAAACTCCTTCTCTTTAGTATTGAAAGAAACTTGAAAATGAAAATCTTCCTTCGATGAATGTTCCCTAAATCTTTCTCAAGAATCTACCTACCTCTTGGGTAGGATTTACAATACTAGTAGTTATTAGTAAGTTTGTGAAAAATTTCCAAAGTCATTATTGAGTGTTAATGAGTTGATTTCAATTCATATCAACCTCATGTGAGAGTAGTATTTTTTAGTAGAGTTATTCTTCATTGTAATCTTTATGGAACTAGATATAAAGAATCTTTTGTTTGGAGATACTGGAGGAGTTTGAAACATTGAACTTTTGGTTATCAGTAGGCTCCTTTATATGTTTATTGTTGTTAAATGTCATTCAGTCAACTTTGACCCACAGCAATGTTACATTGTGCAGTATGAAACCCTGACTAATCCTGTGTCATCCTCACAATCTGCTGTACTTAAGTCCTTTGTAGTAATCACTGTAAAATTTATCTCCTTGGGAGTAGTCTTCTTCTTCTTCTTCTTCTTCATCTTTGCTTTTCAGAGCATTACATCTTTCCTCTGGAATTGCTCCTTCCTGATAACATGCCTGTGCGTGTGAGATTAAGTCTCACCATTCTTGCTTCTCAGGAGTACTTTGGCTGCACTTCTTTCAAGATACATTAGATTGTCCATTTGGTAGCCCATACATGTTCAATATTTTTCAACCTCTATGTGTGTATTGGCCTCATCTACTCACACATACCTCCACACACATATCTTAGAAAATAATTTCAAGTAAATGTAAGAACAAAGAAACAGAATGGTGAGTACAGGAACAAATTAAAGTGAAGAGAAGTAGAATGCAGGAGTTAAGAAGAGAAGGAATTGTGGAAGAAAGAAAATTTTATAAGCATAAAGTATTATGAAAAGAAAATAAAACTAATTTTCTACAGAACATCTATATATATATAACCAAAAGTTTAGATTGTGGAGCCAGAAGTTTTCTGTATTTCAACTATTTTTACAATTGGAATCTGTAACTACAGATTCCAATTACTTGACCTCTTTTGGACTCAGTCTCCCCACTTGTCTTGTCCTAATAGAAATCACAGTTTTACAGGATATACCTCAAACTTGTGACTAGAAACTATCAAGCATTTAATAAAAATCCTTGTCAATATTATTAGATTCTGTTGAACTGTAAGTTCTTTGACTTGAAGAGAAATACATCAAGGACAATTAAGCAGGAAGATGCTCCCTGACATTTGTATAGAGGAAACACATTGGGAATTAAAAATAAAGAAGAAACTTCATAATGCTGTTCATGAATGCAAGATATTCTTTCTGAAGTCACTTGTCAATAAGACATATGAATTGCATAGGAATAATTCCATGGAATTTATTGCAGATGTGGGAGAGCAGTGAGCATCATTTCAAAAACTGTTTCCCTAAGAGTGGTCATTGGCTTTTATGTGTGGCTTAGATGTTA